GACAGTGGCTCTTGCGCACACCATGGCTGAATGCACATCATTGCCATGGTGTCCCTTTTGGTCATTGGATGACCTCCCCTCAGTGGTGGGCCCCACACCTCATCAAGAGGTTACGTGCGGAACCTTAGCCGATTTAGGCCCACCGAAATCTTGCTTTATGAAAGTTAGTGGGAGCCACTTGGGTTTGACCTAGATCAAAATAGGGCGTAATTAACTGTTCCCTCCCGCTAATATGAGTGCATGTGATAGGGAGATTCATATGATGAACTCTTTAAAGGCCTTTCATCATTAGCATGAGGATGGGTCCTTCAGTAATGAGGAAAATGCACCAGAAAATGGGCTATCCATTTGCTGTTGGGCTTGTCTGAATGTTTCATAAGATGATAGGGGCATCATGGACCGATGTGGGAGGGGCTTCACCAGGAAATGGGAACTCTCTCACGCTACCTTGGCGTTCACGAACATGATGGGTAAGCACTCACTGGACAGAAATGTTTACTTGAAAACGGCTTTGAACCTTGTCTGACAGAGGCCAAAGGGAAAACTCATATGATGAGTGGATATGATCCTTCATAGAAAGGTGGTGGGGTTTTTCAGCTGAAACAGTTGGCTCCATGCACCTTATGTGATTTCCCACATTTCGAGAGACAACTCGCAGTCTCCGTCACTGAGAAAGGAGGGAAATCTCAGAGATGAATAAATGGAAATGGAACGTAGATTAAAATCCATATCTATGTAATGAACATGAATCAAATTAGGTTGTGGACTGATGTTTGCTCTTTTATCAGAAAATGGCAAACGGACAGTTTGCAAAGTTGCTTGATGACAACAAACTAAAGGGCCCAAACTATGCCGACTGGTACAGGAATCTTATGTTGGTCTTAACCTCTAAGAAATTGGACAAGGTAGCCAAGAATCTTGCCCCGGATCGTTTGGGAGATAGGGCTTCCGAGGCCTGGAGAAGAGAATACCAAGAATGGGAGGAGAAAAACTCTCTTGCCCGCTTCTATATCATTGCCTCTTTGGACAATCCAATTCAGAGGCAGTTCGATCAGATCGAACTTGCTAAGGACGTATTGGACAGTCTGAAGACAATGTACGAAGAGTAGAATCGTTCTACTCGGCAGAAGGTCTTGAAACAGTTCATGACCGCACAGATGTCCAAGGGCCAACAAGTTCACGACCATTGTCTCCGGATGACGGGTTATATCAACGAACTGGAGGCTCTTGGATCCGGGCTGGATCTGGTAACACAGATCGATGCTATTCTCAACTCTCTGCCTCCATCCTTTAATCCATTCATCATGAACTACAACATGAACAAGCTGAACGTC